TAGATGAGTTTGGGCAGGTTCACTGGAGGAGGACTTGGGTGAAGAGTGGGGGGAAGAAAGGGAACCGAAAAGGAGTGGGTCAGATTCCATGCATGTGTGATTGTGTTGGGATGATCCAGCTACCATGAATAACTATAATGCTCTAATAAAAATTTTTAAAAAAGGATTTTGAAATTTACAGAGATATATGTTCAAACTGCTTTGAACAGTATATAATGTACACATGTATCAAAACTTCACATGGAACCCCTTGATATGTATAATTCTTATGTTTTTGATGTGTTAGTTAATAACATAAAACAAAAAGTCTGCTCACAAGGGCACCAGCATTGTCTAGAAGGTCACTGATATGATTGCTAAAGGTTGGGATCTGTGGTGGAATGTCTGGTTTCAGAACTGGGATCCTAAAAGTAAAGGGGGGAAAAATACTGATAGACCCCAAATGGAGGCCATGAAAAGATAGAAGGAAAATGTGTGCAATGGTGCATACAGTCAGAAAGGAGGAAGCCAGGCAGGGGCCTGAACCTCAGGGAGCTAAGCCTGGGGCTGAGAGATCACAGGGAACCAAATGGCAAAGCACCTGGCAGGCAACTCAGATTCTGCCTGATTTCAAGAAGTAAAGCAAAACTCAAGGATGGATGATCAGGAGACTGAAAGTTTACACCCACCAAAAGTCTGGTTTTTTGCTCAGTTTCCAGACCTTGGCCATGTTTCAGAGCCTAAACTCATTCCTAGGAGGAGAGCCAGGCTCCTATCTGGGGAGAACCTCTAACACCAGAGCCAGTTCAGTGTCCCCTTTCAGCCTGCCCCCCAGGGCCATCCACACATTCACTTTGGTCTCTGTGCATAGAGAAACAAAATATGCAGACATGCATCCTGTAGACAATGTGAGCTGAGCTCATATTGAATCTATCACCATGGCCCCCTGGTACTGAGAAGTTTCACATGGAGTCAGGAATAAATGGACCTGTCCCTAGTCCAGCTAATAGGGGTCATTTCAAATTCCCTGAATTTGTAATAGAAATGCACAATCATGGGCTTAGTGAATCAGCACTACCCTAGGGAAAGCCAAGTACAATCTTTTCATACTGCCTTTTGTTAGACCAGGATGCAAAGAAAAGACCACTGACTCCAATTAAAATCAAATCAGAGCAGCTTTTTCTCTCACTGTTCTGGGCAAGTTAACTCCTCAAGGACAACACCTGAGAAGGGGAGGGCTTCTTCTCCCCTTTCTTTCCTCCCCCTGCCAGCTGTTACCATGGAGCCCAATTGTAACTTATCTTAAAAATGTAGACATCTCTGTGAAGCCCCAGCTTAAGGCCAGAGGCCTTGTTTGCACATTTCTACAAACTACTATACTGGATACGTTTGTGAAAAACTAGTAAGGGGGTGTCCAGCACCTGGAGTGTTCATATCTTTCTGGCCAGTGGCCAAGTAAAACAGGGCAACATGAAAATAAGAAATTTATCTACATTGAACTCTTTTGCAGAGACTCTTTTGCTGACCTAAAATCAGCCATGGTGAAGAGGGCTTTTCTGTGGAGAAAGCGGGTGCCACTTCAGTACAACTACTTTTAAAAATAAGCTACTTGGGAAATTAGGAATGAAACCACCATATGATCCAGCTATCCCACTTTTTGGTATTTATCCAAAAGAATTGAAGTCAACATACTATAGAGATAAAGGTATAACCATATTTATAGCCGCACAATTGACATAGCCAAATTATAGATCCAGACTAGTTGTCTGTCGACAAATAGGTAAAGTAAATGTATATACACACAATGGAGTTTTATTCAGCCCTAAAGAAGAGCAAAATTATATCGTTTGCAGAAAAATGTATGAAGCTGGAGGGGATCATATTAAGTGAAATAAACCAGACTCCAGAAAGTTAAGGGTCATATATTTTTTCTCATATGGAGGCCAAGGGAACAAAACAAGACAAAAATATGAAAATAGAAGGGAGACCAGTAGGGTAGAGAAATAGGATCAAGGGGTGGGAGGATGGGAGGAAAGGGGAGGTACTAGGAAATGAAAATTTTCACATTGTGTTATACATATGCATGTAGGAGAAGAATATGTCATAATGAATCCTACTATTATTTTAAAATTTTATTTAATTTTTTTTAGCCATGCCTTGGGCTCAAACACAGGGCCTTGTAAATTCTGGGCAAGCACTCTATCACCCAGCTATGCTCCTGTGACTTGAAGCTTGCTCAGGAAATGTTGCAGTGAATTGGGTTGACATTTTACATACCCCAGGATCAGAAGTGTCTTTGGGAAATGAGAGTATAGTTATGTGTAATTATAAGGCAGCAATTTAAAAAGGAGAAAAAAAAATTTGTATAAAATATTTGCAATGTTTTATTATAATTTAACATAATAGTGAGATGTATGTCATATTCAAACCTGCACATAGCACAATCCGGTAGATTTTGTAATCCAGTACTTCCCTACCCCCTTCCTTCATTCCTCCCTCTCCAGCCCCTTCCTTTACTCTATTGTTTTCCCTTTGATAAACCCAGCCTAATTCCCTCTTAAGGTCAGGAGCCATCTTGTCAAAAGTTATAAAAGATTCATTTCTGTTTTCTGTAAAATATTAGGATTTCTATTTGGCCTGGCCATATTCTGATGTTTTAAACTTGCTTGGAATGCCTGTCTGTGCCTTGAACTCACCCATGCCTGGCTTTTCCCTGACCAGATAACAACCCTCTCTGAAACCTCAGTGGCGCCATCACCAAGAATCGCCTCGGAACTTTCTATGAGACAGAATGGCCCACCTTTGGAGTCAGCTGACCCCCTGAGGGTACCTTTGATCCCCAGGTGGCATGGGCTATAACCAATGCCACTCTTGGCAATCCTGGTCACCTAGATCAGATAGGATATATTCTACCATGGGCAGAAGTGACAACTAATCCACCCCCATGGATGAAGGTATGTAGGGTCCAGAATGGATAGGGAGGACAAGCCCTGATGGTGACCAGAAAAACTCCCCTGGGCCTCTTAACCAAGAACTCTGTTCTATAGGATGCTCAGGAGGACTCCCTTCCCCCACCCCCCCATACACTTCAGCTCCTCTTCATCTTCCTGCTGCCAGTTGAACCTGCCCCACCAACTGCCTCCCTCCCCCACCCCTTAACCACTTTCACAAACACCTCATTCCACCACTTCTTCCACTCCACCTTCTCCAAAGAACCAGCCTCTGTTCTTTCTCCTCCCCATACCTGACAGGGTCACCCTTATGTAAGATCTGACTCAATTCCTTCCCCTGGTCTACCTGTGGGCTCCATTTCTATTTCTATCCCAGAAGTAGAGGCAACTCCTGCCTTTGTCCTTCCTCTCCGCCAGGTTCCAGAAGGTTGCTATATGTATGTTCCATTTTCCTTGATGGATCTTTACAACTGGAAAAACCAGAATCCCTCATTTAGTGTGGGCTCCTAGTTCCCTGATTTCGCTGGTGGATTCTTTCTTCTTTAATCACCTCCCTACCTGGGAGGACTGCCACAGACTCTCCACCCTCTTCACTACAGAGGAAAGGGAGCGAATCCTGGCAGAAGCAGCTAAAGCGCTGCCTGGAATAGGCTCTCTTAAAGTGATGAGAAAACACAAGTGATCGACCTTGCTTTACCTAAAAGGAGACCAGACTGGGACTATGGAACAGCTGAAGGTAGGAGAACACTCAGAGAATACACCAGGCTCTGTTAGAGGGTCTTAAGAGTGCAGCTTGCAAGCCCACCAATCTTTCTAAAGTAGCAGAGGTAAAATAAAGCCCAGACAGTCGCCTTCAGCATTTCTCTAACGGCTCCTAGAGGCATACCGTCTATATACCCCTATAGACCCTGAGGACCCGACAAACCTGAAGGCGATTAACCTGGCTTTTGTAACTCAGTCAGCCCCAGACATCCATAAAAAGATTCAAAATATAAATGGCTCTGCAAGGAAGAACAGGTCAGAACTACTAGAGATAGCCCAAAAGGTGTTTGAAAAATAGAGGCAGTCAGGATGATCTAGTCAGGATGATAAAGAAAGTAAATTGAGCCTGATAAACTCAGCCTAATACCCTCTTAAGATTATATAAGATTTATAGTAAAGATTCGGCTTTACTATAAATTACTGCGATTTCTAAACTTGCTTGCAATGCCTGCCGGTCCCCTGGACTCACCCATGCCTGACTTTCCCTGACCAGATAACAACCCTCTCTGAAACTTTGGTGAGACCTCATAAATCTTGGCCTTCCCTGGCCAGATAATGATCCTCCTGAGGCTCTAATGACCTTCATAAATATGACCTTCATAAATTCTGATGTTGGGGCCAGCAAAAATATAAACTAGCCTTTGTGTTATGCTCATCAGAGTTTTGTTATCTGTAAGTTCTCAAACCTCCCCTTGTGTAACTTTCTGGGCTATAAAGTTGCACTCCTGGAGAGCTGCAGGGCTGTCTTTTGTTCCTGTGGTTTGGGGTTGGGAGAGGCAGCCTGGCTAGTTGAAGTTATAAGCTTGCTTTAATTTGATTTCAATTGGAGTAGGTGGTCTTTGCGTCTTTGGTCTAACAGAACCTGTCGTCCGAGATGTGGACCCTTGGGACAGGGCCCGCAGGGGAAGTTTGGGGACTGAACAGGAGAAGGAGGTGCCCCCTTAAGTTCCATCCCGGAACTCACCGGCCCACTTCGACCAAAGTAAGGCGGGAACTGAGTGAGGACGCCAAGAAAGAGCGCCCCTGAGGCACCGCCAAGGGTCGGGAGCTCAGGAGCCCTGCCAGACCTGCCTCCTGGCACCGGGCCATTAAAGCCGGAGGCCCTCAGCCCCTGTGCCCGGCGCCCTCGTTTCCCTCTGCTGTCCTGGCAGAGCCATCAGTGGCCAGGTGCTGGACCCCGCCTGGATTCCTTCTTCCAGTGACAGCGCAGGGCAGGACATGTCCCCAGCGACTCCCGCTGCTTTCTTATCGCAGGCTTTAGCCCCCCCACCCCCGCGGTGGCACTCGCAGTGCCGCCCTGGCTGTTACCTGGATAAGGTGGACCCAAAGCAAAGGGTAAAGTTGGAGCCTCCAGCCTCATCCTCTTCCCTGCCTCCTCTCTGGACTTCTTGGGCCCGGGTGATTAACCATCTGCATTTCCACCTTCAGCCTCGTCCCTTTCATGCTGAAAACACCAAAGAAGTCCGGACCCCTAATAAAGTCCCGCCTGAAATCAACGTGGTTGAAGGCAGTTGTTAGGTAGCCTGCCATCAAGGAGAGTTTTGAGTAGATTCTGTGCCCCTGGAGCCTAAAACCTTGGAGAAAAGCTTTCTGAAAGCAAAACTGAAAGCAACTTTTTTAGGAACTGTTCCCACAAGCAGGAAATGCCTTCTCAGCAAGCTCGGGCTTGCAGAAAGAATTTTTAAAAGGGGGCTCTACCATTGGTTTCTTGATGAGTGGCTCCTGGTTTGCCACCTCTTATATCACCGTTCAGAGGTTCAGACACAAAACTACATACAGAGTCCCATGTCATGGCCTGGGCCTCAGGCCTGTGGCATCAGAGAGGGGTGAATTAATTACAAAATTAGGAAAGCCCCTGTGAGTCAACAGCTTGTCAAAAGTGCAGGGCATTTGTATAATCTCTTCATTCACCTCTTTCCTTCCACCAGAGGGCACTAACTGACAGAAGTGGAAATTGATGCAGGAAAATGTTTAAAAAAAGGAGTGCAGCACTCATCAGTCAAAATGTCATGATGTCTATTTCTTTTGAGGAAATTTTTTTTTTTATTTTTTAGGTGTAGATGGACACAACACAATGCCTTTATTTTTATGTGGTGCTGAGGATTAAACCTAGGTCCCACCCATGCTAGGCGAGTGCTCTACGCTGAGCCACAATCCCAGCCCCATGACTTCTATTTCTGAAAGTACCATCTACAACTCTTTCAGTCAACTCTGGAGCTGATTCCATCTCCTTTTTGGGATCTGGTTTCAGTTTGGCAGCCAGAAACCTCCTCCTGATCCACTTGCTGTACTTGATTAATCTCCCTTCTTTTATTGTTATTAATCTAATTAGAAGAATACGCGCGCACACACACACACACACACACATAATTCATATGAACATAGCATGATTTGGTAGACTTTGTTCCTTATGGCCTTCCCGCCTCCCTCCCTCTTGATCTCCTACCTCTACTCTATTGCCAACTTGGATCTTTAAGGGACAAATATTCTTTAGGCTTTCTATGTTCAAAATATTCTTAGCACACTTTGCAGACAAATTCTAAAGCTCTCTTCTCAAGTTCTTGTCCCTCGGTTATTCAAACACTAATCTAGACACTGCTCTGAAAGGGTTTTGTAGTTCTAATTATTAATCAATTGACCCTCCAATAGAAAGATCTTTCCAGGTAACCTGAGTGGGCCCAGTGCCATTAATGAACCCTTAAAATGAGGAAACTTTTTCAGGCTGGAGGCAAGAAGGATGAAGCAGAAGGAAAATTTAGACTCCAAGCAAGAAAAGGATTAAATGTGCTGTTGGTGGATCTGAGATGTATGGACCAGAGAGAGGCCTCTTAAAGTGAAGGAGTGCCCTGCTCACAGCCAGCAAGGAAGTGGATTCTGCCAACAATCTGAATGCCCTTGGAAGCACATCTTTTCAAGAGCTTCCTCATAAGAGTTTAGCTCTTCAAAATCTTGATTTTGACCTTGTGAAATCCAAAGTTGAGACATCAATTGAGACTCAGATTTCTGATCTATAGAACTATAAGATAATAAGTATCTCGATTTAACAAGCAGCTAGGTTTGGGTAATTTGTCATGACTGCAATAGAAAATGAATACCAACTCCTTCCTATTAAAATGAGAATTTGACTGAATATAAAATTCTTTTCTTCAATGCTTTAGAAATAATATTTCTTAGTTCTCATGTGACCAGGGTGGCTGTTCAGGAGTCTGTTGCTGTGCTTGCTTCTTTCTTGTTTTACTTGTTTCTCAGGGCCATCTGGGAAGGGAGCCAGAAGGCTGTGAATTTATTTAATCTGGTGAGTTTTATAGTCTACTTGGCTGCTGATCATGGTCTCTTGGAGGTGAGGAGGTTTAAATTCTTTCCCTGCTTCTTCTTAGGTGCACTTATATATATGACTAATTAATTGTTTTTCTTTTATTAAGATGCTACTAGTCTCTTCTTCCCTTCCCTTTTATAAAAATCAAATTCATTAAGATAATGTAAGACAACACTCCTTTTTGTATTTAAAGTCCCTTATCTTTGGGAGTATGTTAGAAAGATGTAGGCATTTGTTCAGTTTATGTGGCATATTCCCAGGGCTACAGAGGTAAAAAGGGATGCATGGTATCACTTCTGCCATGAGTCATCTTACCAACCTGTAAACTTTGAAAATCATATTTCCATGCAGCAGTATCTTCAGGTTTGCAGAAAAGAAAAAAAAAACCTATTTTTTTTCAGGAACAAACATTTTAGCTTTAGAGAAAATGAATGCTGGAAATATGTTAAGTACATTTTCATTTCCAGGATCTTATAGATTTCATAAAACCAGTCCATGTTATTCTAGACCTATTGTAATTATAATATTTATTTTAAAAATATACAATCCTTTACAGTCATTGGAAGCACACATTAATCATAGGTTTCAACAATAGTCATAATGTCAGCTCAATTCATCAGATGTTATGAGATATTTTGTGACTAACAGACTTTAATAAATAAATTACAAATAGATGCAAATATTTTTAGAGATCAGACTTAGACTGTGTGAAGTGTAGTAACATTTTGCCTTTGAAAAGAAATCATCAATTTTGGATTTCACATATAGAATGGCACCCAGGAAAACATGTAAAAAGTCAGAAGAATTGTACTTTTAAGAGCACAAATGAGCAAAAAATACTTATTACTGGAGCCACTTCATGGGATGCCTGGATGTATACTGCCTTGTGAGTGGTTTTCTGCCTAGAAACTGCATAATCCACTCTTCAGCTCTGGCTGGTAAGTATCTCATGACCTAGCAACAGTTGACAGGGAATATTCCTACTAGAAACAAACTTATTTCAAATCTTCTTCCTACTTATTTATATATTTTATTTGTTCTTTTTAGTTATACATGACAGTAGAGTATGGTTTGGCATATTTATACAAACATGGAGTACATCTTATTCTAATTAGAATCCCAGCATGTGGTTGTACAGATGTGGAGATTCACTGTGATGTATTTCAGATCTCCTTTTGCAAAGCATTTTTGTCTAAGATCCCTCCTCCCCAACAAACTAACAAACAAGTCACACCAGCAACAATGATGAACAACATTAAAGCCTCTGACTCCTGCACTCCTGGATATGAATTAAAAATAGAGTGAATTAATATTTACTTATCTAAAGAAAGCTGTGTGAACATAAAACGAGAAGCCACCAACATGCATTTCTCATGAGAATATTTTACTTTGTTAGGCATGTGTCAAATATTGAATTTGACCTTGAAATAAGCAGATAATAACTTTTATTTTCTTTTTTTCTATCTTTTTATCCATAAGACATTTTCTTTTTTTCCTCCCACAATATTAAAAAAATTGCTTCTTTCAAAGGATGCTATCCATTTTTGTTACTGTCAGAATATTTCATATTTCTTTATATCAGTAATCCTCATCTCAAAGGAATATGCTTGCCTTCTGTATGAATTCAGCTTGTAGAACTTCCTTACCAAGCACTATTTGAACCATACCTTTTCACTCTCTTATTTTGTAGAAATTCTTTCTTACAATTGGACAAATTTTTTCTTATACCTGGACAAAAAGATGCATCTTCCTGGTTATAACATGGAGTGTCCCTGTCATTAGTGTTCCATGGCTGAGTCCGAGTGCACTGCAAGCAATGCCTATTTTTTTCACAGATCCTGGGTTCATCATTTGTTGGCAGCCCTTGGTGGGAAGAGGATGGCTTGGGCTCTGAGAGGCAAAGAAGTGGAGATGTGGCCTGTGGTGAGTACGTGTTGAAATAATCAGGATTAAGTAAAAATATCAGTTGAAATACATTGAGTTAAAGGAAAATATTTACAAACTATTTTTACCTGTTTAATGTCACTACTGGAGAGGTTTAAATTAAAATTGTGACATGCACTAGACTTCTGTTAGAATTCTAATCTATAGCTTCTGTATATTTTCTGTTTCTATTGTATGTTCTGCTGGTTCTCATTCATATTGTTGTATCTGCTTGATTATCATGGTCTCTTTGTGGGATATGTTATTTTAAAAGTTGCCATTGAAAGAATTTGAAATTTAGGATATTTCCTTCCTCCAGAATTACTTTCATTAATTTGTATCACACTTGGTAGTGACAAGTCCAGAACTGCTTATTTCCATTTCAGGAGTGAAGATATTTTGGGCCAGAAGCCTTGAGGCTGGACTGCAGTGGGTCTGAAGACTGGTTTTCCTCCAGGTCACCCTTCCTCTGAGGGTCCAGTCCTTCAGGATCACTCCCCAAAGGGCAGGGAATTTTTCAGGGTCCCTGCTTTTGGCAGGTCCTGGACTTCAATAATTCTTGCTTTGAATTAGAAAGCTATCCAAACCTGCATGAGTCACTAAAGGAAGGGCTCCTTTTGTGATCACAAGACTGCTAATCTCATCACCACATCACTCTATCACAAGTAGGAAGCCATTAAGTGAGGTTAGAAAATCACTATAATTAATAATTTACCACAATAGCCATAGTGTTACTGGTGGCTCCAGAATCACACTATGCCTGTAAGCATCTGCACTTTCAGAGTGGATGCCACAGGCCCTGCTGTCAATTCTTCCAAGCCAGTGACCACACCCTCGGACCTCTGTTAAAGGTACAGCAAATAAACCACAGGTCTTCACAACCAGTGTGGCAGCAGGAACAACAGATGTCTGGCCTCTGTTCCAGTTCTGCCACATTTGATTCACAGAATCCAAAGCACCTCCAGGAGTTAGGTTTCGAAGGAGTCTGGGAAATGTAGTGTTTAGCTTTTATGGTTTCTGTGGAAGGTACAATAGAAAGAAGAAACAATGGATGTCATGCTCCTATTCCCCCCATTCACTCTACAGTTGAAATGCCATTAGTTTGTTTGAAAATCTGCAAAAATAATATTATATCTTGCTCACTGATTTATGATACATACCTGAGTACAGTATATCCATACACCTTTACCTGTATATCTCCATACACAGTTACCATAAAGGCAGTAATTTCAAGCATGGGTTCCAGATTCACCCTGATGTTCAAAACCTGTGTTTGTGTTATGTGGATACCCATTTTTCCTCAACCTCTCTCCCAGATGTTTTATTTTCCTATCTCTAAAATAGGTTGAAGTACTGTTGTGAGACTCAATTAAAATAATGCATGCAGTAGTCTAA